TGGTTTATTTAACTCACTCTACAATAATGGTCTTATACAGTATTTGTCCTTATGTGACCGAGTTAGTTCAGTTAGCATAATGCTTCCCAATCCCTCCCAAGTTAGGTAGTTGTTGTTATGTGCCGTTGAGTTGCTTGCGACTCATAGTGACTGACAGAGCCCTGAAACTTGCTCTATCCTGTGCCACCTTTACTGTCTCTCCAACTTTCCTGCCCTCATTATCTCAGTCACTGTATCAATTTAACTCATCGATGGTTTCTCTTTTTCTCCATCCCTCCACTACCAATAGAAAACATTTACCACAGAGTTGTACTTTACCAGAGAAACACAGTAAAAGATGACTGCCATTTTCTTCCAACTAAAATACCACAGGAAAGTTGTAACACTCAAAGTTGCAGCAAAACACACATTTCTTTCAGTGCATGCATCACAAGATAACTATAAGGAGAATTTGAAAAAAAAATTTGGAGAGACAAAGAAAAAAAAATCTAATTACCTCTTCCTCAAGTTGGCCATCTCGCAAGGTAGGAGGGATCCCTGGGTGCTTGGCTACTAGCAATTCCATTAAGTTATGAGTAGCATGAAGTCTCTGTTAAATACACAAAGGGTAATGATTACAAGAGCTAATGTACTGGCCCTGAAAAGAGAACCTTCTATTAAAGTAGCATGAGGTGTACTGACACCATGTTAAGATCAAATTATCAAATATGAATTTTCTTTAGCACAATGTGAGTAGCTACTTATTTTTTTCAGAGAAAAATGACGTCGTTTTATAGTAAAGTCTTAATTAATAAAGGCATAAACATTTGTTAATTAACAACAGGGTCTTATGAAATGTAGCCTTGTGTTTTGCAGAATATGTTACATGAGTTTTTTGGTTTTGGCATCTATTTGCTTACATAATGGGCAACTGTTAATAAGTCAAATCATTCAGTATAGGAGAAAGGCTGATACTTCAGGCTTGATTTCTTTTCACCTGGGAAAGGTGAATGATGAACTCTGCAATTAGTTTCTCTGGGTAAACTAGGAATTTGAAGCTCTGCCTCACATACTTTGGGCATGTGCCCAGGAGGGACCGATCCTTGATAAGGGACATCGTGCTCGGAAGGGTGAAGGGACGGAGCAAGAGAGGAAGACACTGAATGAGATGGATTGATACAGTACCTCGGCAACAGGGGTAGGTGCGTCAGACTCAGTGAGACTGGGTCAGGACAGGGCAGGCTTCAGAGCTATTGTACATGGGCTTGCTATGTGTTGCAGGCAACTCAACAGCACATAACAACAATGTACTACTAAAGAATAACATTGTCAATAAGAAAAAAAGGGCTGTGACTTGGACCTGCTGAAATTACGGGCTGGAAAAGACGATCTGGAGGCAAGGATGGAGTGGAAAGAGGTAGAAAATGAAATTTTTTTCTCTCTATGAAATATAAACTGGCCTTCTCACTGTGGTTTTCAGTCTGCAGCTTACTAGATGTTCCCTCTGGAGTCTAAGGCTATGGGATGAAATGAGGCTAGAGTGTGTTTCTCAATGTTAATCTGATTTTTTCCTTGGGAAGACAGGTAAAAGCTAAACATGATCAGGTAAGAAGATATCAATGGTTTAAGACTCCACCGGAGTTAATTTTACTGGTACAAACATTACTGAACATGGTATACATCTCTGAAGAGTCACTTCAAAACCTCTAGGTCTTCCCACACAGCTTCACAGACACAACAATCACCAATAAACTTAGTAGCACCAACAGCTTTAATAGCAACTAACGTGCCAGATTTAAGGGAAACATAAAAGTGTAATTAAAACAGAAACAAAAAATGGTAAATATATGTTTCCTCATCTCTACTTGCGCTTGTGGGAAAGGACATCTGTTGTTTTCTCCTAGTGGTGAAATGGATTGGGAGGAACACTTGTAGTCTCATTCTACCGCCACTGCATGTTTTTAACCCGAAAAGAACAGAGTGGCTAATGTGACTGGTCAAAACTTATTCAAAAGAAAGATGTGGGCTAGTTACTTTATCCTCACTCCTGAACTATGTGATTTTAAATATGAAGGACTACCTTTGTCTTGATCATTCTCCTCCTTTTATTGGGACCTGTGCTATTTCTTCCTTTACCACAAGGTTAAAGTTCAGAGCTTGCCTTCTATAATCCTTATGCATATAAGTAAACCTGTATTTGGATTTTATCTAGGTTTCTAACTGACATACCTTAGAATTGTCCTAATACACAGTAAGACAACCTGACCATGTGGATCCCTAAGTCTGTATGTTGAATGGTTCAGAGAAAGACCCACGTGGGACACAAAAATAATAATCTTGCCAAGGGCAATAAAAATGGTCCTTAGTTCCACTTAGATAGAGTCTTGTCTATATGATCCACTGTACTAATCAAGATGGGGACAAAAATCTTTTCCTTCAAATCACCGTTCTAAAAGATCTCTAAATGTTCACTGAGGAGATCCTTGGACAGATTTTCTTTATTAATTTCTTTGTTAAGGAATATTTTTCTTTTGGTAACAATGTGAAAAAATGTTGATATTCATATGCAAAAATGGTAAGACTGAGATATCCTTAAACAATCATGAAGTAATAGCCTGTTCTGAAGAGAACAAGAGTAGTGGTGCTCTACTTCATAGAGACTTCATGTAACATGTTTACATTAGCTCTAGCAGAACACATTTACACTTTAGTGTAGTAAGCCTCATCCCCAGGGATGATGATTCCAGCCACGTGACTCTGCTAAATATTATATTCTTTTGTAAAAATGAATTAACGTACATGCTCAAAACCATTTCATTTTCACTTACTTGCAGTGAATCCGTTTTGAGCTTTCCTTTGTGCTCCTCAGATGAGCGCAGGACTTCTCTGTACAGATCCGCGGCCAAGGCATACTCACCTGAGGGTCAAATGCATTTAGAGTCAGAGTTCTGCATTTGGTTCCTAATGCGATCTATGACCTATTATGTAAGTGCACTTACTGTAAAAATAGAACTCAGTGATACACCTAAGGATTTTTTATTTTTTCAAAAGAAGGAATTTCACTTGACATTTTACTCCATAAAAAAACTTTTCTGGTAAAACAAAAAAAAACAAACAAAAAACCCCTGATAGTGCCTGTGTTTGTAAATTTCAAGGGACAGAAAATAAAAGATATTTACAACTAAAAAATTAACTATGTAACCTTTAATTTAGACAAACAGTTTTCCTCTTCTTGAGACTGAAGCCCACTTATACACAAATCTTTACACACTATAAATACACCACACTTAAGTTGCAGCAAAAGAGTAACCACTGTCCTCAAGAAAGCGCTTATCTCCGGAGTTAAAAGAGACAGAAAAATTTTCAAAAAGCTAACAATTCTTCTTTGCAATTCTAGTTACACACATCAAAATGAGTCTGAGATACAATATTCTTCTGTCTACAATCAGTAGCTGCTCAAAAACATACCTAAACAATTCAAAGTATCAAAAATGTGGCTCACTCACATAGCAGGAGCTCCGCCAGTTTCTGCATGGCTTTACCATTTCTAAGTGGTAGGGATTAAAATCAAAGGAAGAAAAATATTTTCTAAGATATGATAATAAAACTTCAATGTCTATGAATACAGTTTTATTGGCACGGTCATGCTCATTTGCTGATAAATCGTCTGTGGCTGTTTTAACACTGTAGCAGTAGAGATGAGCAGTGAGAGAAATCTTAAGGCCCACAAAACCTAACGCTAAGTTTACTTAACTGTGAATCAAAAGAGAGCTGACGCATGTTCAGTGGCTTGGATCATGTCATTGCTGGGTGCCATCGAGCCGAGTGTGACTCACAGTGATCCTATGAACAGCAGATCTGAACTCTGTCCTATCCTGTCCCATCCCCACAATCTGTTGACACACTTGAGCCCAGTGCTGAAGTCACAGTGTCACTCTATGTGGTTGACGGTCTTCATCTCTTTTGCCATCCCTCCACCTTCCCAAGTACAATGTCTCTAAGAATGACCTCTCCTTGCAGCATGTCCAAAGTATGTGAGAGGAAACTTTGTCATCTTTGCCTCCATGGAGCACTCTGGTTGCACCTTCTCCAATACACATCTGGTCTTCTACAGTCCACAGGATATTCAGCATAACAGGGGTAGACGTGTCAGAGACAGCAAGGTTGGTTTAGAATAGGGCAAGATTCAGATCTACTGTTCATAGAGTAGCTATGAGTTGTAGTCATTTCAACACCATAGTTTAAAGGCATAAATTTCTTCTTCTGCAATCCATTTCTTTTATCAAAAAATCTGTTTATTGAGATAATTTCCCATTCATCTTGATTCAGCATGCTTTTCTTAATCCAGCTTCCGTCTGGAGGAGCCGCCTTGCTTTTCCTCCAGTAGGCTGACAGAGAACAGCAGAGCAGCCAACACACAAAACTTTTGATGCATGGCTGAAGACTGTGGTATTTTTATAGCCTCCTGGGAATTTCATATCCATGATATACAAATTCAGGCTCTGCACCAGGCACTTCTTCTTGTGTTTACTCTTCTGGAGAGGGAAGAAGAAGATCCATGTTGGCACGTGAAGGTCACCGCCAGAATGTCTTCGATAACCCTTATCATTGTGCAGTTCTCAGTATCACAGCAAGTGACTGAAAAGACTGTAGCCTATCAGACAGACGTTAGTCCTCCAACATCGCAGGTCCTCAATAATTTGGAAAGCTCCTTTACTGCAGATTCCCTAGTGCAGTATGTCCCCTGATATCTGACTGCTGGTATCAAATGTACTGATTGTGGATCCAAGCAAGATGACCTCTTTATGAGAAGGAAATAAGAGGTATCCAGATAAGCAAAAGGGGGTAAAACTCTTGTTATATGCAGTTGGTAGGATAATGTACACAAAAACCCCAAAAGATTCAGGGAGCTCTGGTGGCCTAGTGACAAAAAGCTGCACTGCAATCCCAGAGGTACATGGTTCGAATCCACCAGATGCTCTGCTGGAAGGAGGGGCAATCAATCTCCTCCTGTACCAGTCAGATCCAATTTGACAACACACACACATATAAAAAAAACAAAACAAAAACCCCAAAGGCTCATCAAAAAAACCTCTTAGACCTAGTAGACTAATTCAGTGGAATTGCAGGATATAAGATAAATGTACAAAAATCAATAGGATTTCTCTACACTAAAAGAAAACAGACAAGGAAACTGGGAAAGTAATACCATTTACAGTAGTCAACCATAAACTCAACCAGAAATACAAGAGATGTTTATAAATAAAATTGGAAAACACTACTGTGAGAAACACTAAAAGGACAAAATAAATGGAAAAATGTTCCTTGTTCATAGACAAGAAGACTTAATATAGTGAAAATGGCAATCCTACCAAAAGGAACCTAACTGTTCAACATGATACCAAAGTGATTTTTCAAAGAGACAGAAAAGGTAATTGTTATATGCCATCAAGTCCCTTGTGACTTACAGTCACCCTATGTACAACAGCCCTGAAACCTGTTCTATCCTGTGCCAACTTTACTGTCTCTGACACATCTACCCTCATTACCCCAGTCACTGTATTAGTCCATCTCATCGATGGTCTTCTTCTCTTTCTCAGTCCGTCTGCCCTTCCAAGCATGATGTCCCTCCCTGCAACAGGCCCAAAGTATGTCAGATGAAGCCTCAGAATCCTTGCCTCCAAGGAGCAGGCTGTTTTCACCCTCTCAAGGATGAACCTGTTTGTTCTCCTGGCAGTCTGTGGTATATTCAACACTCTTCTGCAGCACCACAGCTCAAAAACATCAATTCTCTTTCTATCCTCCTAGCATTGTCCAGCTCGTTGAAGCATAGCAAGCAACTGTGAAGACTACGGTCTGGACCTGGTGCACCTTTGTCTCCAGATTGATGTTGTTTTTCAGTACTCTGGAGAGGTTCCTGACAGCTGACTTTCCCAATGCAATTCTTTCTCTTGATTTGCTGGTACCAAGAACACTGATCGTGGAGCCAAGAAAACCGAAGCTGTTAACAATCTCATTCTCTTCACCATCTATCAAATGCTGCCAATCAGCCCAGTGGTGAGAGTCTTTGTTTTCAATTCATACTGAAAGCTGCACTCCTTTATCTTCTGCAGCAATAGCTTCAGATTCTTCTCATTTTCAGAAGGCAGGGTTGTGCCATCTGCACAATGCAGGTTGCTGATCAATCTTCCTCCAATCCTGATGTCGCATTCCTCCTCATACAGCCCAGCCTCACGGATGACAGACTGAAAGGTATGAAGACAGAATACATCCCTGGAGTACACCCTTCTCAATTTTGAACCATGAAGTATCTTCTTGCTCTGTTCTGACAACTGCTTCCTGGTCCAAGTATTAAGTTTCGCAAAAGCACAATCAAGTGTTCTGAGATTAATGCTTTGAGCAGAATATTAAATGATTCAGGAAGCATTAAAATAAGATGGAAGTATACTGAGTCACTGTACCAGAAGGAATTGGCTGACACAGAAGAATTTAATGAAACAATGTATGAGCAAGAGCCTGTGGTGATGAAGGAAGAAGTTTAAGCTGCACGGAAAGAATAGGGGGTGAGGGCTGGGAGGGGAGGGAAGGCTCCAGGAGTTGACGGCATACAACTGACCTATTTCAACAAACAGATGATGCTTTGGATGTGCTAAGTTGTACCAAGAAATCTGGAAGACAACCACCTGGCCAACTGAAGAAGAGATCTATTTGTTATAACAGAAGAGATCTATTTGTTCGCATTGCAAAGGAAGGTGATCTGACAGAGTATGGAAATTATTAAACAGTATCATTAATAACACATGCAAACAGGATTCTGCTGAAAATTATCCAAAACTGACTGGAGCAGTACATCAAGAGAGAACTTTCAGATGTTTTAACTGGGTTTAGAAGAGGCCGTGGTACTAGGTATATTATAGCTATTGTGAAGTGGATCTTATCTGAAGGCAGAGAGTACCAGAGGAATGTCTATTTGTGTTTCATTGACTATGCAAAGGTGTTTGTGTGGATCACAACATGTTGTGGCTGACTCTGAAAAGAAAAGGCAATAGGCCTTTTCAATTTACTCGGGAAGAGACCCCGAATAAACAAAGCACTTCTAAGTAATTGCAAAGACTGTGGCTTGGATCAGCCATACCTTAGTCTCTAGTCTGACACTGTTGCTCCTTAAGCACTCTGGAAAGGTCCCTCACAGCAGACTTTCCCCAGTGCAACTCATCTTTTGATTTCTAGACTTCTGGTGCCAAGAGTGTTGATTGTGGACCCAAGAGAGATGAAACTATTAACAACTTCAATCTCTTCTCCATCCATTACAGTGCTGTCAACTGGCCCAGTGGTGAGAATCTTGGCTTTCTTGAAGCTGATATGCATTCCATACTGAAGACTTCTGTCCACGCTGGTTGCATTTCCTTCAAGACTTATTTGCTCTCTTGGTAGTCCATGGTTGTTGTTGTTATGTGTCGTCGAGTCGCTTGCGACTCATAGCGACCCTATGTACAACAGCCCTAAACTCCGCTCTGTCCTGTGCCAATCGC